TCCTCAGCCACGGCAGCGCAGTGCCCTGGTGACGCCGCCCTGGACTCGGGGCTCCTCCGCCTGGGCCCCCCCCCCCGGACATCGTGTCCTCAGAGACCTCCGGCTCCCTTTCCCTGGGGCTCCCCAGCCAGGGCACTCGCCCTTCTGCAGCCAACAATTATTTATTGAATACTTACTCTACGCTGTTGAAGGCACTGGGCAGAGCAGAAAGCGAGACAGACCAGTTCCCTGATCTTGTGGGGCTTCGGTTCTGGTGGAGGGAGACAATCGGTGCGTGCCAATGTGTGTGCGTGCGCACACGCACACACCCACGTGTGAGATCGTTTCTGTGAAGGAGAGGTGCCAGGAGGGATCACGGGATGTGGCCATGAGGGACCGCGGGGTAGGGTAAGTTGGGCATTTGGAGAAGCTGGGCCTAAAGATTGAGAGAACCGGGCGCGGGGAGAGCGCTGGGAAGTGGGTCGCAGGCGGCGGGAGCTGCGAGTCCCAGAGGTGGGGAGCCGCGTGCTTTATTGGAGGGATTGGAGAGGTGGCCAGTGTGACCCAGACCAAGTGCGAAGAGGAGGTGAGGTTGGGGACCAGGCAGGGGTGGCATCACCCGGGGCCGGGCGGGCCCCAGATAGGCTTTTGAGTTTTATTCTTAGGGCAGTGGGAATCCGTGGGACAGTTGTATGAGGGCGAATGACAGGATCCGACGTACCTATTCAAGAGGTCCCTCAGCTGTGGTGTGGAGAATGGGTTGGAGGGGACAAGAGATGACAGTGGGCTGGACTAGGGTGGTGGCGGGGAAGGGGTGGGTCAGGGACAGGTGCAGGATGTGTGTGGATGTTGGGGCGGGGAAGAGGGGAATCCAGGATGACCTCGACTTTGTAGCTCGGAACTATGGGCGGACGGCGGGGTCGTCTATTACAGCGGGGCAGCCTGGGGCTTGTGGGGACGATCAAGAAGGCCAGTCTGAGATGCCCTGTAGGCATCTCTTCAGTCAGGCCCAGCCAGGGAGACAGACCGCTCTGCGTATTTCAGTGGAAGGAACCGAGTGTGGGGGATTGGCTGTTCTGGTCTGCCCATCAGAGGTGGGACGGTGAGGTAGCAGCTACCACCTTGGACTTCTGAGCTCCTGTCCCCCTTGAGGACCGCCCCCATCCTAGCCATCTTGAACTTGGGACTCCTTTGTGCAAGACTCCATCCCCCAGCTGTGGGTTTGGACCTTGAGGAGCTGAGCCCCGCCTCTTCTCTGCTGGGGGCCTCAGTCTATGAGGCTGAAAGAGGGACAGCGCTTGAAGCCGCAAATAAAGAGTGTGGGGAAGGCCGGTGTCTGAGCTCCGTGTGCATGCAGGAGATGGGGTGTCTTGTTTCTCGGAACAGCACCCAAGTGTGGATAAATCCAATTGGTGCGCTTACCTTGGTGGCCCCTTGGAGCCGCGTGGCTGGGCCTGGCTCTACCCTGCCTCTCCTTTGCAGGGGTGGGATGGTGCTGCTTGTTCGTCCCTAGAAAGGACGGACCTAGGGGAGGTGAGGGCGCGGAGGCCTCTGGCCCTTCCTCAGATCCCTGTTGCAGGGAGACCCGTTTGTCTCAGGAGGTAGAACGGACTCCCTTGGTCCCAGGCTTGGGTTTTATTCTGGCCTCAGAAGAGTTGAGGCAGCAGAGAGACCAAGATGCCCCAACGTGATGAGTTTCCTCGAATCCGAGAAGGCTCTCACGGCCCGAACGGGGAGCATCTCGGGAGCCTGCCAGGCCCTCAGGGCAAGCAAGAACATGGCGCGGGCGGTGGAAATGTGCCCTCAGTCGGCCTTGTGCAGCGTGGGAGTCCGGCTGAGAGGTAAGCAACATGCCTTCCAGTTCAGCCAGCCCGGGGGCAAGGCTGGTGGCTTCATCTGGTGGTTAGCCAAAGACACTGCAGTGAGGTGCACTTAGGGGGTGGTTGCGTCTGCAGTGCGGTCCACGAAAATCATAGTATTTTCAGATTTATGGGCAATGTAAAGGATTTTCAGGGATGACTCTGCCCACACAGGAGTTCTGCCTTGATGAGCTGTTGGTAGTACCTAACCTCCACGACGTGACTGTGAACTTGTATTTGCTGAGTACCCGTGTTAAGACGGTTCTCCTGGCCATGTTCCAGCCCAACAACCATATGAGGGGGGTAACTAATCCCGGTGTGCAGATGAGAAGACCGAAGTTCACAGACATCATTCAGCTGTTCAGGGACAGCTGCCCCGTGACTCAAATGCACATGCCTGACCACCAGGCCCTCTTGCCCCCTGAGGAGGGAGGCCCCGGGAATAAGGAGGGGACAAGGCCACAGAGAGAGCAAAAGGGACATCGTGCAGGTTCTTCCTTAGCCCACCTAGCTGAGCGCTGTCCCAGCACAGAGCGGGCACTAGGGGCAGGTGTTTGAAATACCTCGTTTCTGCCAGGGGTAAGGCACAATTTCCCACCCAGGAAGCTCGCCAGAAGCAGGCATGCTGCCTCGGGGAGTGCCAGGCCAGTGGAGCGGTCATCCTGCACCACCAGGAAGGAGCTAAGGTGGTCCTTCGAGATTCATCTGCGTTCTGATCAGACCTTTGGTAAGGTCTCTTTGCCGCCACCAGCCTGTGACTGTGCCTTCTGGGGCAGAGCCTTTGCACTGTGACTGGACCCTGTCCCTGGGACACAGAGCCGCCCTCTCCAGCTGCTGTGCATACCGTGCGGATGCCCCTGTACAAATGCCCTATAGCACGTGTCCCCTGTCCCTCCACGTTAGCCCCTCAGCGGGCACCTCGCCCTGAGGTGTATATTCATCCACATACATGAATGCAAGAGGCTCCGGGAGCATGAGAGAAAGCCTGAGCCTGGGAGCCTGAAGGTCTGGATTCAGGGGTCTGTGTATGGCCATCAGTGCCCTAAGGACTTCGGGAAAAGGGGTGGGGGGGATTTCACCAAGGGCCTACAGCATTCCAGGTAGTGAGTGCTGGGTGCTTGGTGTGTCTTTTACTCTTCCCAACACCAATGCTGAGAGGTACAGGTTTGTGCCCCCATTTTGCAGATTTGGAAACTAAGCCCCTTGCCTAAGGACTCAGGCCAGATTAACAGCCCAGATTCTGATGCAAGCCTGTCTGTCCTTTGCCCCCTCCCCCAATTACCTCTAAAATAATGTCCCTTTTCTGCGTCCATGGCTCCCACCTGTGATCACTCCTCTCCGCCTGCAATGGGCTCCACACTGTTCTAGGTGCTGGGGACACAGCTGTGAATGAGGTCCCTGCCCTCATGGAGCTGACAAGCCAGCGGGGAGCCAGATAATAAATAAGCAAATGATGTGGTATTTTGATATATGGCCAGAAAAACAAGGTGATGAAGGAGGGGAAGGGGGGTCAGTACTCGCTATGGAAGATAAGGAGGAAGGGAAGGCCTCTCTCTTCAGATGGCGTGTGAGCAGAAGTGAAGGAATGAGCCATAGGGACGTGTGAGGGAAGAGAATTCCAAGTCGGGGGAACGGCTAGTGCAAAGGCCCTGTGGTGGGAGCCTGGCTAGCATTGGAGAAACAACCACGAGACTTGTAGGAGGGAATAGGAGGAGAGAAGGGCACAGAGGGAGCAGGAAGCAGATGATGCAGGTCCTTGGGCCACAGTGAGGGCTCTGGCTTGAACTCTATGCAGGAAGAGCCATGAGAAGGTTCTGAGGGCAGGAGGGATGCGACCTAACTCAGGTGTTCACAGGGCTTCTCTGTGGGAGGAAACTAAAGAGGTGGAGTTAGGGCGCAGAGCCCAGTGAGGAGCCACTGCATTAGTCTAGGCTGAAGAGGAGGGTGGCTGGAACAAGGTGGGGGCAGCGGAGTAGGGAGAAGTGAGGTTCTGGATATATTCTGAAAGTAGAACCAATGGAACTTGTTGACAGGTTGGGACATAGGGTAATAAAGTGACTGAGCAGCTGGAAAGATGGGGTTTGCTATTTCCTGAGAGGGGGAGCCTGGGAGAAGCAGGTTGCGGGTGGGGAATCCGGAGTTAGGTTTTATTTATTTATTTGAGAGAGAGAGAGAGAGAGAGTACTTGCGGGGTGGGGGAAGGAGAGAGACTCTCAAGCAGGTTTCATGCCTAGCAGGGAGCCCAACGCGGGCTCTTTGAGATCCTGAGATCATGACCTGAACCAAAATCAAGAGTCGGACGCTTAACCAACTGAGCTACACAGGCACCCCTGGAGTTAGGTTTTAAATTTGAGATGCCCATTAGATACTCCCAAGTAAAGATGTCACTTGATGGTTGGATACAGAGATGGAGAGAGAGAGCGAGAATAACAGCAAATAATACAAATAACAGAATAGTGTAGTGTTATTATACATAATAATATTAACAAGTTTATTAAGCTCACTCTTTGGTCTTTCCATCTGTTCTGTCTCTTGCTCACACAGTAGCCATATGACATATTAGGGATTATCCTCAGAGGAGAAAACAGGCTGAGAGAGGCTTATTAATTGACTAAGATAACACGCCTAGTAAGTGGCAAGAGTTGAGATCGGATCCTTGGTCTGCCCAATTCTGAGACCAGATTTTCTTAATCTGCTAGTCGCTTTTGCAATAAAGAGAACTGGGTGATCCTTAAGGATTAGTTTCAGCTCCAGGGAGCCTTAAACCTGGCAGTTCTCTGCTTTGGAGATAAGGACCCCCTCCCCCCAAACCTGTTAGGGTTGTGTGTAGGCCAAGAGTCCATAGGTATTGACTTAGTAGGGGTGGGGGAGGGGCTCTCCTAAATTTTTTTCTGGAGCTTTTTCTGGTTTTGCTTATTTTCAGGATCCTGGCAGAACTTTGGTTGGGCAGCTTAAGGGGTTAGTGGTTTCACTTTGTTAATGAGGACCCGCTGGTTTAGCGAGGTAAGAGACTTGCCAATGTCATACACAGCAGGCTGGGGTCAAGGATCTGACCCTGGCATCCTTCCACACCTAGACATCTTCCCTGTGTCCCCACACCCCTCACCAAACCTCCTTCTCCACCCAGATTTCTTCCCTGGGACAAAAAGAATGCAGGCGTAGTTGGTTTTCAGGTTTTTATTGTGGGCGTATTTCTGGTAGCGGGATAGGGCGGAGGGGCAGGCCCTCCCACGAGGCGACAGAGGGGGCCGAGGGGGCCGGGCGTGACAGGTGGAAAAGGAGGAGGCGCGGGGAGCTGCTTTACTCCCGGATCTTCAATTCCCGCGCCATCTGACAGAGGGCGCAGGGCAAACAAAAGGTGAGGGCCGCCCAGTCGTGCCCGACGGAGCCCTAGAGGGTGGGGGAGAGAGAGTCAGGAGCCCCGCCGTGGGTCCCAGGAGGTCCTTCCCCACCCGGGCCCCGCGACCCGCACGCACCTGGATGTGATAGCGCTCCCGCATGCCGGTGCGCAGGGAGTGCAGGCCTCCGGGCAGGTAGGGCGTGCAACAGCACTCCCCGAAGTCGTCGGAGATGCGGCAGGCGAGGCACAGGGGGGCGAAAGTGCCGCACAGACCTGGGGCCGGGCGCGGGGCAGTCAGAGCGGGGCCCACCGGGCGCCCGGCGCCGGCTCCGCCTCGGGGAGAGGCGAGGCCGATGCTCCGCGGCGCCGGGTCGAGGGTCCCGGAGGGAATGAAGGGTCCCAGCGGCGGGTGGTTTGGAGGCTGGGAGATAGGGTTTTGGAGGGGGAGCTGGGGCCACAACGGGGAAAATTGAAGGTGCAAGGGACGGGGAGGTTGAGGGTCGCAGGGGAAGTTGGAAGAGGTGAGGTCAGGATCCTGGGGAGTGTTGGAGGTGGGAGGAAGGGGTGAGGGTTAGAGTGTGGGAATTCAGGGTCTAAGGAAGGGAGGGGCGTGGGGTTCGTGGGGCCTGGCCCCGCCCCCCGGAGGGAGCCGCCGGCACTCACAGACGGGCATGTCGTTGCAGCAGTCCGTGAGTCCCGTGTGCCAGTCGCTGAGCTGGGTCTGGTAGCAGCTGCTAGCGCACTGGGGCTGACTGGTCACTGGGTAGGACATGGCTGCGAAGGTGGTGGGCCAGGGTCAGCGGGCAGCCCGACAGCCCCTCCCGGACACCACATCCCTGCCGCCCCTTCCTCTGCCGGGCAGTCTGGGCGGGGCCACCAGGCCGCCCACGGAGGGGACACCACTGCGCGCCCCCTTCCTGTCCGCCACGTTTGGGCACTGACACTCCAGTCGGTCCCCATCGCCACTGCCTCCTGCACATCTGGTTGGGCTGTGGGTGGGGAACTCCTGCAAGTCTGGGGAAGGGTGGGTGCCACATCCGGGCGGGGCGAGATGTGCGCCGCCTCCTCGTCTGGGCCTGGGGAGCTGGGTTCCCGCATTTCCAGGGGTCTCTGGGGTGCAATCAGGCGCCATCTGTCTTCGAAGCCAGGGTGCCCAGGGGAGGGAAGCGGCCAGGTTCCAGGGACTGGAAGGGTTCCAGTGATCCCACCTTTGCCTTTCACGTTGTCGTGCATCTCAAACTGCATCTTGCTGGCCCTGAGGAGGTGGCGGTGTTGGGGACGGCAGAAGTGGCCGCGGTGACAGTGGCTGAGTCTGTCCAAAGGATGCTGGATACTGGGGGAGGGGCGGGCAAGGAGCAGGGGCACTGGGGGCTGGGTTCTCAGGGGGAAGGGCACTGGGGAGAAAGAGGCCAAGTCAGCCTGCCAGCTGGGAGAAACATGGAGTAGGGATGTATGCGGTGGGGGCGAGAAACTCGCCCGTCTCTGTCCGGCTGCCCGACAGACCCCACAGACCCCACAGGACCTTCCTCATACCAGAGGTAGAGCTGGAGACAGAGACCAGGGGACAGAGACAGACGGAGTCAGAGACAAGTGGAGAAAGAGATCAGAGCCAGGTGCCCATAGTGATGCCACCAGTAACACTCACACCTGCCCAGCGCTTTGACTTCTCTGCAAGCCCATTTCGCAGATGGAACACTGAGGCTCAGAGAGGTGAAGAGAAATGCCCCACATCCGATGGCCCAGGCCAAGGGGGTTAATAGAGGCCGTGCTGGGCCCCAGGACTTCCAGATTCAACCCAGCGCCACTGAAGTTGAGAAGGTGGACACGGAGGGCATTGAGAAAGACAGAAGTGTCCACCGAGACAGTCAGAGATATGCAAGGGACAGAGATGTCAGTGGAGCGGGGGTGGGGGGGAGGACACAGTGAAGAGGCTGTGGGCAGATGCTCCTACCTGCAGGAGACAGCAATGGCGATGATGCAGACAGGTGTGGGTGAGCCGGGCACTGTGTTCTGTCTCTGGCCAGGAGCTGCTTATATTGGGGCGGGCCACACAGCCCTGGGCGGGGCTCTGACGGAGGTGCCCAGGGAGCCCAGCCGGTCTGGCTGACCCTCTTCCCCCCACAGGAACTTCCCCTCCCTGGCTCTCCATCCCCCATCCCCCCTTTTCCCCTCCAGCTCTTGTGGGACCAAGGAAATCAGGGAGGGGGCCAGGGATGCGGAGCTGGGAGGGGAGACAGGAAGGGGAGCAGGCAGAGAGAGACGGGGGGGGGGGGGGGGGGGAGGGGAGAGAAGGCAGAGGGGAGGCGTGAGGGGTGCAGCTGGGCTACAGTGCAGAGACCCAAAGAGAGGGACGACAGAGAGACGGGGAGGGAACGGGGGACACAGAGACAGAAGGGGAGAGGCCCAGACGGGAGAGAGAAGGGGATTCAGAGAGGTGGACAGAGACGAAGACATAGAGAGATGGAGAGATGCCGAGACAGAGAGGGACAAAGATCTGGGGGAGAAACAGCAGAGAGAGAAGCCAGATTCAGAGAAGAGACACAGAGGTGGAAAGTGGAGAGGCAGGGAGGTGGAGGAAGGAATGGGGGGTGCAGGAGAGTGCAGTGGGGGCTCCCCTGTGAGGGCCTCTCCTGTCCCCCTGAGTGAGGCTCCCACTTCCCTGGAAGAGGGGGCACTGTCCTCCCATTTGGGGCCACCAGGCACATGGGGGGCAGTGTGTTTTGGGGGTGACTCATGCTGAAACCAAAGTAACTCAACTCACTAGACCTTCACACTGGGAAGGGAGGAAGCTGGGAACTGAGAAGTGTGGTTCTGGAAGGAGATGGATGTGGCCCAGGACTGGGGGTGGGGGGCAACAGAGCAGATTGGGGGCACGGGGGCCGGACTCCTGGATCTGAGGGAGGAGGGGCTGGGGCTTCATCTGAGCCCTTAACAGAGGAGGGAGAGGGGCTCAGATTCTGGCTAGGGGGGTAGACTCTTGGGTTAGGCTAGGCTGCACCCCTGAGTGTGCAGGGGTCCTGGGATTTTTGACTGCTGGGCTCCTGAGGGGTGAAAGAGCTAGGGGCCTGGAGGCCTGAGTCACCAAAGTCTGCCCCCAACAGGCCTGGCAGGGTTGGAAGTGACTCAGTGAGGGAAGCAGCATTAGAGTCGGGTGGGGTTTCCAGCACGGGTGTCACCCCAAAAACGTAGGAGGCGCTGGAAAATTGGGGTGTTACCTGCAGAGAAGGTGGTGGTGTCACCCCACTGGGAATGGGTATGGGGTGATGGCAGGTGGATCACCCTGTCCACCTGCTTTTCCCTCACCTCCCAATCCAACCCACACCAGGACCCAAGCCTTGGTCTCCCAGCACCACCCAGATGGCTCGCTGTCCTTGTCCCCAGACTGATAGGTGGCACTCAGCATTTCGCTGGCGCGTGTCCATTACTTGGTCCAGGAGCCTGAATGTCTAGGAACATCTTCTCTCCACTTCTGGTCTAGTGTCCCTGTGCCCCCATCTCTGCATCTGTGCCTCGCCAGCTCTGTATCTCTTTCCTGATCTGTTTCCAAGCTGCTCTGGTTCTCTGTCTCCCCATCTCTGAGTCTCTGTTCCCTCAAGCTGTGCGTCTCCTGCCCTCGTCCCGGGGTCTCTGCCTCCCATCCCCGCATCTCCATCTCCAGGCCTCCCCATGGAGGCAGCCCCAGGGCCCCATCCCCCAGCTGGCCGGACCGTGATCTGCAGGTGACTCAGGGTCAGTCATCTCTGAGGACCCCAGGGCTCCCAGGATGACAACCCGAGTTGTCCTCAGGTTTCCTCTCCCCATTCTGACACCGCCTGGGGGTGCAATTAGACAGCAACTCATGTAGATGAGGAAAGCGGGTGGGGAAGCTGTGAGGTGGCCTGCTTCAGGGTGAGGGGGAGGGCCGGAGCAGGAAGAGCAGGGGCCTGGGGGCTGACCAGTGGCCATGGCTGTCCCCGGGCACCTGGCATCCATCCCCTCAACAGGGTTGCCAGATAAAATATAGGATGCTCAGTTAAATGTAAATTTCAGGTAAACAACAACTACAACAACAACAACATTTTTTTTGGCGTAAGTATGTTCCATGCCATCTTTGGGATATACTTATACTAAAAGAGGTATCTGTTGTTCATCTGAAATTCACCTTTAACTGGGTGTCCTGTATTTTTATCTGCTAACTCTGGAACCCTGCCTTTAAAGACAGAGGAGAGGAATCCAAGTCCCTGGCCCCTCTTTTTCCAGAACCCAGGATCCCAGGCCTCCAGCTCTTCTTCCTCAGGACCTGAGAGTCCAGGTCCCGATCTCCGTCCTCCTCTCTCCTAGAATCCATGTTTGGGCGGGGGCACTCAGCTCCTATTCCCTCAGAACCCCGGAGTTCAGGCTCCCAGCCCCTTTCTCTCCAGAATCCAAGCGTCCAAGTCACGTCTGGGTCCAGTTGCCCAATGAGGGTTTCATAAGGCGGGTGGTGCCATCCATGGCCCTCGTGGAACCGGTCAGGCAGAGCGGACAAGTGAGGTTGCCCCCTCTTCCCATCCTGAGCCTGCTGCTTCCTCGAGGGCCAGCCCAGTGGGGCCGGGAGCAGAACAGGAGCTCAGTGGAGTTCTGGGTGGGACACCGAGTCTGGGTTTGGGTGTGTTGTGTCTCTGCGTGTGGTGTGTGCGTCTCTCTCTGGGTGCTGTGTGTCCCTGTGGGGGTTGTCCCCATGTCTCTGTGTGTTCTGGGGTGTGACATGTGAGGGGGTCTTTTCTATTTGTGTGTCTATATTGCCTTTCTGAGAGTCTACCCACTGTGCATCTCCCCGCTCCTCCCCCACTGTGCATCTCGTTCAGGTGTGGTTGGTTGTCATGGTTCTAGAACTCTGACTGGATTAAGGGAGGAGTGATTTACTGAATAGTAGCCTCGTGTGATGGGTTCCAGAGCCAGAAAACCTGGGTTCAAATTCTCATAGCCTCTTCCTGGCCCTGAAAACTTCGGCCAATCACTAAGCTTGCCTGGACCTTGGTGTGTCCATCTTCAAAATGAGTGGTGGCAAATAGAGTGGTTGTGAGGATTCGACGAGTTAGTTCATGGGAAGGGCTTAGAACTGTGCCTGGCACTCAGAAACGTTTTGTGTTTCTGCGGGTGATGACAACAAGGTGCTGTTCTAGTTGCTGGAGATACAGTTGAGAACGAAACCAAGTCTTCTCGTGGTTCTGGCTGGGTTTGAATGAGTGGCCTGCCTGTGGCTGGGCGTATAATTGCATACCTGGGGTGTCTGATTTGCATGTGGAATAGGATATTTCTGTGTGTGTTGTCAGTAAGGGTGATTGTGTGATTGTGTGCTGATGTTTATGTTTGTGTTTGTGGGTGACTGCGCGTGGTGCATGTGATTCTCTGATTGTGTGGGTGCAAATGAAGATCCCACTAAGCAGGTATTGAGGGCATGTGTTTGGTGTGATCTTGCATTTCTGACTCTGAGATGCCAGGGGTGTGTCTGTATTTGGGGTCTGGAGAACCCCTCTCGCAGCTCCTCCTTTTCAGGTGACCCTGGGAGGGTGACTTCTCCCAAAATGATCCTCAGTTTCTTCCCCTCCTCCTTCTTCCTTTTTATAAGATTTATTTATTTATTTGAGCGGGGAAGGGGCCGAGGGAGAGGGAGAGAATCTCAAGTAGACTCCCAGCTGAGCACAGAGCCTGACACAGGGCTTGATCCCAGGACCCCAAGATCATGACCCAAGCCGAAATCAAGAGTTGGAGGTTCAACCGACTGAGCCACCCAGGTTCCCCAAAGCCTCAGTTTCTTCTTATTGGGGATAGGGGGCCCTGTGTCCTCGGATGAAACACCTGTGTGAAAGGGAAGGTGGGAGGAGATGGGTGAGGCGAGGGAGAGGCTGAGAAACACGATGCGGACACAGAGAGATGGTCAGGATGGGGACAGAGGAATAGCTGCCCAGAGAGGTTTGTCCATCCATTCGGTACGCATTTGCTGAGCTCCTGCGATGTGCCGGGACCTCTGGTGGGCATTGTTTCAAGGTGTGGGGGAAAGCAGAGAGGCCCAGAGAGATGCCCCAGGGTGGCCCACTCATCTCCACGGTGGGACTTAGTGACAGTTCTGAGTGATGGAGGTGCAGCGGTGGAGAGGGACAGAGAGGACCCTGCCCCTCCCCAGTCCTTCCTGAGGCCCAATCTGTCCAGATGAAAGAACAGAGGCCATGGGGGAAAGGCCCCTCCCAGGCTGGGGGCACCCCCATGAATCATTTTCTTATCATCTCCTAATAGGATAATGACATGCCTGCCCCCTCCTAATCACTATTTTTGACCCCAACCGGGTCCGACGCCCACAGTGAGAAGGGTTGGACAAGTCTGGTATTTGGAAATCAGCAGAGGAGATACTTGAAAGCCCCAGTCCTAGGTCCTTCCGACCCCAGGACCCAGGAGTCCTAGGCCCCAGCGCCCTACCCCACCCCACGAGTCCCCGCTTGCAGCCCCTCTCTCTCTTTTTTTTTAAAGATTTTATTTATTTATTTCAGAGAGAGAGAGAATGAGAGATAGAAAGCACGAGAGGGAAGAGGGTCAGAGGGAGAAGCAGACTCCCCGCTGAGCGGGAAGCCCGATGTGGGACTCGATCCCGGGACTCCAGGACCATGACCTGAGCCGAAGGCAGTCGCTTAACCAACTGAGCCACCCAGGCGCCCAACAGCCCCTCTCTTTTGTTTGCTGTGTACCTTTTCTAACCTCCCTGGGCCTGTCTTTATCTCTTTGCCTGTTTATCTCCATCTGTGTTTTGTGTCTCTCCTGTCTCTTCACATCTGCATCTTGATTCTTCCTCACTGGGCATCAATTTTCTCACTTGTAAAACGGGGATTATAATAATCTGATCTCTTAGAACTGTAATGAGGAAGACATGCGATAATTATGTGAGATGCTTCGCATAGAACCGGGGCCACAGTCCATGCCATACAAGAGAGAGCTCTCTTATAATTATTGTTTTTACTATTTTAATCTCTCTTGGTATCAATGTTTTTCTCTTTGTCTCCATGTGAGTTTCAAGTCTCCTCCCGCTCTGGGTTCCCCTGGCAGACAGCACCCTGGCTTCCCTTTCCGGGGAGGTGGAAAGGGCACACCGAGGCCAGAGCTTCCCCTAAGCCTCCTCCTCTTCATTTCTATTCTAAGCCCCACCTCGCGGGACCCAGAACTCTTGCCTGGGGACAAGGCCTGGCTCCAACCCCATAAATAGCCACATAAAATCTGAAACCTCAAATCCGTCATCCCGGGGCAGGCCAGCGACTCTTGGGAGTCCCCGTCCCTACACCGCGACATTTCAGGTTCCCAGCTCCCTCCTTCCTCAAGATCCAACCATTCAGATGCTCCTCAGATCCTGAAGTCTATGTTCCTCTGTCCCTCCTCCCTCAGATCCCCAGCCCCTCCTCCCTCAGGACCACGGAGTCCAAACTTCTCAAGTCCCCATCATCCCTTAGGACCCAAGGATGAGGCCAGCGAGCAGCGCGAGCGGCCAGACCCCACTTTCGGGGCGCTGCTGCAATCCACCACGCCCTCGGCTACCACCCCTTTGCGTTTTTCCAGAGGCGGGCCTGAACCGGGAGCGCGCCTCCGGAGGCTGGCTGTGATAAGCTACCCATGACGTCAGTCACTATCTTCCAGCCAATAGACGTTCCGCCTCCTATCGCCCTGGACCACTTGGGGCACGTTTCCCTGGTAGGCGGAGCCCACGGCCTAAGTCGGGCAGCGATAGGCTCTGGAAGACGCCAGTCTCCGCTAGTCTCTGCCTGGCAGCCAATAGGCTGGGCACCTGCGGGGTGGGAATCCCGCGGCGCCCCGCAGAGGCTGGAGCGGCGGGTGAGGGAAACAGGTTCTGCGGGTCCAGTCGGTAAGCTCTTTCCAGCACGCCCAGTACTGGGATTCTGGACATAGTTCGGAGGGGAAACGGCGAGGCTTGGTGGGGTTGAAGGCGGAGGGGGCCGCTTAGCCCGGGCGACCGCGAATTTTGCTTTGTTGGGGAAACTGAGTCCCAGACATTCATGTCTCCATTCCATTCCTCTCACCCTCAACCTGATTCCCGGCTGCGCCTACCCGGCCTGCACACCCATCCGTTCAGTCTCTCCTGCCCTCCTTCTCTCTCCCACTCACCGGCCTTCCCCTTTCCTTCTGTTGCTACTCACTCGCTAGCTCATCACACATTCAGCCACGTATTACTTAAACGTTTCCCGAGGCTTCCGGTGTGCCAGCGCTTGTGCTGGACGACGGTGGTGACCAAGATGAGTCAGGCCTAGGCCCTGCCTTCGAGGATCCCGGGTCAGATCCCCGGGAGGACAGACACGTTGATGGGCAGGGGTGTGCGGAGGTGGGGAGAGTCTTTTTAGGCTTTGCTGGGTCAGGAAAGGGTTTCCAGAGGAGGGGACATTGGCGCTGGATCCTGGAGGGGCAGGAGGTGCCAAGCAAAGGAGAAGAGCGTGTGAGAGGGTGTTTCAGCACAAGCAAAGAAAGGGAGGCATGCGGGAGTATTACTCTGTGTAGGTGCCCAAGAAGGAGGCCAGTCAGGTCCTTGCGGTGGGGTAACTATAAGGCTGGAAGAGGATGAAGTGGGCAAGGCCAGCCTTGGCAGCATGGACTCTGTCCTGGGGTGGGGTGGTCGTGGGGAGCCATGGAAGGGTTTAGATCTGCAGGGGAAGACCAGGTCAGAGCTGGAGCCGGAACTGGAGAAACGAGACTGGACGCCGCCAGTAGCCCGGAAGGTGGCTTGGGCAGACACCCAGGCAGGAGAAGATGAAGCGTGGATTAGGTCAGAGACCGAGGGGATAAGGCAGGGAGAGGTTCGGGAGGCAGAAACAATAGAATATGGGGCTTGATGGGCTATGGGACGAGGGGCTGTCCAGGACAAGACCCAGAGTTCTGGCCTGGGCTACAGGGGTACAGGAGCTGTCCCTGAGATGGGGACGGGAAATACGAGCGGGTTGGTGGGTGGATGACTGTTTTGGGAGAGATGAACAAGGGTTCCTATGAGTTCAACAGGGGGAACAAGACCTTCAGGGAGAGTTCTGGGCTATGGCTCCCTCCTCAGCCCTCCATGTCTGGCTGCCCACATCCCATGGCCCTGCAAGGGATGGGTCCCCAGGGATGGGACCCTGTCCAAGGGACCCTGGACAAGGTCACCAAGGACCCACCTGCTCCCTGCTGAGGCATGAGGATAATATTTCCATCCTCATCTCACGCCGACCACTCCCTCCCACCTGAAATCTCTTGTTTTCTGGTTAACTTCTTCCCTCTCCGGCTGCTCCTTAGAACCCTCGAGAACTGATTCCCCTTTTACTGCCCACCCCTTTCCTGGGGGTAGTGGGCCTCAGGGCTCTCTCTGTCCTGCTCCTCTGCTCATCCCACCTGTCCCTCAGCTCCAGCCAGAAGTGAGCAACCAGCCTGCTCTCCTGCCCGCTGCTGCCTCCTGGATGCCCCCCGGGTTGCTTCACAGAGACTTTTTGATCTCTCCATGTGCAAAACAGCTCTCAGTAGACGGCCACCCTCCTTGTACACACCAGAGCCTCCTTCCAGTAAAGACACAGCCTCACTGTCCACCTGCTCCCATGGCTAGCCTGAGTGCCATCTTCATCCCCAACTGCTCTACTGCAATAAGTCCTCTTCAACCTCAGTTACCCCCATGGCCTCTGCCCCAGCTCAGGCCTTGTCTTCCCTGTCCCCAGCCTCCTCTGCCTCCAGGACTCCAGTCTTTCCCCTTTCAGTCCATTCCCCAGTGTCCCAGCAGGCCCTTTCAGTGCCTTAGCTGATCCTGTCCTTCTGCTGCTCAAAGCCCTTTTGTGGCTCCCACTGCCCTCCAGTTCAGTCCAGATTGTACTCCAGGACCTTCAGGATCTGCTCTTGCTGACTGCTCCAGGCCCCCCAGGCCACTTCCCACTTTGTACCTGACCTTCTAGCCAGGCAGAGGCTTTGATAACTGCCCAGTGGCTCTCACAGCTTTGCGTGTTTCTTCTGCCTAGCAGACTTACACTTATCCTTTAAGGTCAAACTCAGATCACCTCCTCTATGAAGCCCTCCTTGATAACCACAGATGGAACCTGGGGGAACTGTGACATGCTGTGTCTGGCTGGGTCTCTCTGCCCATTCTCCCTGAGTCCCTTGAGGGCAGGCCCTGGATAGAAATCATCTCTGCTCCATACCCAGGGCCTACAAAAGGACAAGACCTCAGAGTCTTGGTTGAGGGACTGAGCGACTGTCACAGCTCAGCAGAGCTTGGGCTTCCAGTATTTGGGGTGATCAGTTTTGTTTCTGGTTTCCTGATATAGTTGCTGCAGTTCTCTAACGTGTTTGGGTTTTCTTTTCTGGGTGGGTGCTGGGGCTGGGTCTGCAAAGGGGAGTAGCTGAGAACCCAGGGCCATCTGGCACACCACCTGGATTAAGTCTGAAGGGGAGGTGGTCTGTGTTAGTAGGGGCGTCCAATCCCTCCGCACCCAAGAATCCGAGCCTGCAGTCCCCTCGTTCCTCAGGACCCAGAAGTTGGGCTCCCAGCTTTCTACTGCCAGGCTGCTCCGATCCCAGCAGCAGAGTCCGATGCTGCCCCCTGGTGGGCGACACCCGACCCTATTTGCAAGAGGCCAAACTAATTAAATACTTTTATTTACAAAGGAACAAAAACAAACCGTCTTGCCAGGTAGGGCCAGGCCCCCACCCTGCGGCGGTCACAGCAGCAGTAGAAGGCGATGATGGAGTGCAGCTCCAGCTGTCTACGGAGACTGGTTGGTGTGCGCCCCCCACCCCTCGGGCCAGGGTCTCGGCTTTGGGCCCCCGCCCCGACACCCCCTCCCCCCGGCCGTCCTCCCACCTTAAGGCACAGCCTGCCCCTCCCGCGCCCGGCCTGACGGAGGGGCTGGAGGGGATCGGGAGCCCCTCGACCGGGGGTGGGGTGGGGGGGACGTCCCCGCCGCCTAACCGGGGGCGCATTCACCACGGAGGCCGGCTCAGATGGGAACAAGAGGCCTTTAGTGCCGCCCCCCGCAGCCCCAGCTGCCCTCGTGGCCCGGCTCGGGCTGGGGCTCAGACGGGCTGCGCGGCGGGCGGGGCGGGCTGAGCGAGGATGAGGCGGATGCACTCCACGCACTGCGCGGCCGCCTGCCGTGTCTCGCGGCACAGCGCCGCCAGGCTCAGGAAGCCGTGCGGCAGGTCCTCCACCACGCGCAGCGTCACGGGCTTGCCCAGGCCGCGCAGCCGCCGCGCGAACATGACCGAGTCGTCCAGCATGGGGTCCAGCGCGCAGGCCTGCGGGACGGCGGGGGTGGGGCACGGGGCAGAGGAACGAGGGGAGGGGGGCGGGGAGTGGGAGATTGAGCCTCGGCCCAGCATCTCCGACCCCCTCCCCCCCTAGACCCACCACCGCTTTCCCCTTCCCCGACTGCAGGGCTCCGCAAGATCGCGAGAGGAAATAGCAGCCCTGGTTCCCTGCAGCCCTCCGGTCCCCGGGCATTCCCTCCTGGTGGCACGCCTCTCCCTTCGGCTGGCAGCCAGGCTACCTTACCCCCCCAACCCCCACCTCTCCGCTCTCTCGCTTCTCGGGCTCCCTTCCGCAGGTGCACCTGGCCCCGCCCGCCCCTGCCCCCCCTGCTCCCCGCCCCGCACTGTCCCAATCTGGCGCTCACCACAATGTGCACGGGTGGCAGGCTCTGTAGCATGCTGTCAGACGCCAGCAGCGGCGACATGAAGGGGTTCTTGACGATGGGCGAGTCGCAGAGGGGCATCCGGGCGGGGCCCTGGCTGGAACGCCTGGGGTGGAAACCCTCAGGGAAGGCCGCGCGCGCGCTGCAGCCTCTGTCCTTGGTGCTCAGCTCATCCTGTGCCTTAGCGGCCTCGGGTGTGGGTGCGTGGTCTGGGCCAACCAAGAAGTTGACGTCGGAGGGTGTGGAGGGGCCAAGTGTCTCCGCAGACATTGACAGCTCCGGGCTGTTTGACGTTTCAGAGCTGTCCTTTAGGCTCAGGTCCCGTAGGGTCAAGCTCTTGAGGGAGTCCGTGCCCAGCGGGCCCCCGGGCTGGGCCAGGGCTGCCTCAGACACGCTGCGCCGCATTGGCTCTGCAAGAGGAGCAGGGGCAGGTGGCCAGTGGGGGCCACAGATCAGCCTGGCTCTGTGGACTGGGTGTGTGAGTGGTGGGCAGGAGAGGTCGGGGGGAGGGCAGTGGCCTCTGCAGGAGGAGCTGCGCGCTAGGGCTGTGGAGGCCGAGTGTTCCCCCCAGACTCCCATCCTCGGGGATGGGTGGGGAGCCCCAGGTGCCCCAGGCTGCAACTCCAAGGGGGAGGTGGGAGGAGTCACGTGGAGGTGTGTGTGTGTGTGTGTGTGTGCACGCGTGCAAGCGTGTGGTAACTGGGAGGGTGAAATGCAAATCAGTTTACCTCTGGGAGCCTCAGTTTCCTCCACTGTACAAAGAGGGGATAAAAATAGTCCTTACCTCATAGGAGGTGGTGAGGACTGGGGATGAGGCACTGCTGCCCCCTGGGAGGTCACACGCTATCCTCATGTTTTATTACTAGGCCCGGTGCCTTGTTCCAGCTGCCTCCCTGACCCCAGCCCGAGGCCCAGCCAACCTGTGAGGGCCACTCAACACAGAGGGTGTCAACAGTGGAATAGTGAGCAGGCCACGTTCACAGGGAGCTAAAGAGAGTCTTGGGAGCCTATTCGATTCCCAGGGATCCCACACGTGCAGCCACACAGATCTGCTCCCCACATTCCTTCATGTTCTTTAGTTTTATCCCTTATGTTTGAGCGACTGGACAAGCAAGTGCCCCGCTGAGGCCGAAGACACGCTTCGGGCCGCGTGGAATGCCCACCTTAGCCTCCGCTCCATTAATCTGATCCGACCTATGCTGCTTACCACTGGGGCCACGACCCTGCCTTTTGCAGGTATCTTTTCTTTTTTAACTCGTCTATATAAATCCACGAAGGCAAGATGCAAGACGATATGAGAGTAACTGCATAAGTGCCCTGTGACCCAAGAGGGTCACCGGAATGGAACCAGTGAGGGGAGTCACGGGGCGCAGCCTGTCAGGGGTGCCGGCATCTGCTAGGAGCACCTACTGGGTGTCGGGTTTGTGCTGGGTGCTTGGCACAAATAGTTGCATGAAGTCCTTATAACAACCTAATGAGGCAGGTCCTCTTACCATCCTCATTTCATGGAGGAGCAAAGCAAGGCTCACAGATAGGGTACCTGGCCCCCATCACCCTGTAGGTTGCTCGACTGTGGGCCTCTAGGGACTGCACCTGTCACCTCTAACCTTTAGGGAAAGCCCCAGTGTTCAATGGTCCACGGTTCAAATCCCTTTTGTTTTTGTGTGTATTTGCATCCATTTGAATATCCTAAAATTTAAAAAGTTAAAGTAAGACACACTCAGTTGGAATAATTTTCTGAATAGGAATGGTATCTGTCTTCTTCTGAACACGCACTATTATTCAGAAAATACTGTTGGCATGCTGGAGATAGAAAATGAGCTGGCTGTACTTTAAAATCATTAAAATGTTAAAAAAAAAATTGTGGGGAAAAAATAGTTCCCTGGATGTTAGTGATTTTTGGCTGCATGAGGATCCTGCCCTGCCCGAGGCTGGGAATCTCTCCCACTGACCGAGGTCTGTGCAGTCAGTCTGCTGATCCCTCCGACCCCAGGCTCCTAGGCCAGCCCCCGGAGTGGGGCATTACCCCCATGTGTCTCTCTTAAAAGTCTGGGAAGAATCTAGGAGGGTTGGACTCCCCCCTGAGGGCCCAAGGGATTTGAGTGGCATTCTTGGGATCAAAAATTGGCACATGTGGCAGGCCTTCTGAGTTATTTCCTGGGGTTCCTTTCTGGGATGGGCTGTTTGGAAGGCTACCCCCTATAGTTCCTAGGAGTTCTGAGATGACCTGGCGGACCAGAAGTCCTGGAAATTCTAGGATGTGGAGCGTCGTGGAAAAGCAAGGCTGTGTGGTCGTCCCCAGGGCTAAATAGGGGGTTAGAGCCAGAAGGTGATCTCTGCTTCCCCGAGCACCCGAGGACACAGCCACTCGCCCCCCCCAGGACTTGCGGTGTATCCGGCTGTCCCTGCTGTCCGCCCCGAGTGGCTGTGTGAGGGGAGGGCTTCACTCACCTGCCGTGGGCACTGAGTTCGTGTGGGACTTGTGCCCACTCAGGTCCAGGAAGGAGTGGAGCCACGAGGAGGCGCCCACGCGGAGGTCTCGGAAGAGCAGGGCTGTGTCCCGCCGCACCAGCCCCATCATGCCCAGTGCCTTCTGGTCCGAGTCCGAGTGCTCCTCTGTCTCCCCACCTGTGGAGTATGTGTGGAGGGCTGAGGCCCAGTCTCAACACCTGGAACGTCAGGCCTCTGTGCCCCCGGGGACCCAAGGATATCTGATGGCTTCAGTGGGGACCAGGAGTCTCAGATTTCCTTTCCTGAGCCCCGGGAGACTGGGCGCTAGCCCCCATCCCTGCAGGACTCCAGCATCCAAGTCCCCCCCAGGCCCCCAGCTCTGTGTGTGGCGGCCTTACCAGCATAGGCGCTGACACATTTGGTGAGCACGCTGAGGGGCAGCAGGGGGTCCATGAGGCTCAGAAGGCGGGAGGGCGAGGCGGTAGATTGTAGCATCGTGGCTGGGTAAGCTGCCATGATGCCATCTGGCACCCGCACCCCGTAGGCTGCTGCCCGGAGGGACACGGTGAAGCAGAGGTTCCCACCTGCGCTGTCCCCTGCGAGGCATATCCGTTCCCCCGTTGAGCCTGGGTTGGAGGGGGCTTGGTCAGCCTGGCAGGGAGGAGCTCAAGCTCTGAGCCAGGAGCACTGGACTCTCAGAGGTGGGGTATAGGGGCCCCAATCCCAAGGTCTAGCCAACTGCAATTTTAGAGATTGGTAAACTGAGGCAGGGGTTTGGGGGACAGTGGTCGGGGATCAGGCAGGCTGAGGATGTGGAGATCAGGAGGTTCTGGGGAGCTTGAGAGGCTGGAGGTCAGAAACAAGGGGGACAGGTGGTGGGAAAGGGGAGACCAGGGCCCGTTTCGGGAGGGAGGGGCAGCTGAGGCCTGGAGATGGAAGGGCGGGTTTCAGCTGACCATACAAAAGAGCCACATCCCTGTGCCCTGGGGCACGCCCCCACCTTGCCCTGTGCCTCTGGAGAGGTCAGAAGCAGGAGGTCAGAGGAGCTGGAAGAATGGTCTGGAGCGTGGGCCGGGAGGCTGGCAGTGCAGGACAGGGGGTGGAGAAACAGGAGAGAAGAGGTCCTCGGGGATGGAGAGGTGGGGGGATGGGGTGTCAGGGCTAGAGTGGGGGGGCAGGAAGCAGAAGGAGGAAGTGGTTGAGACGGAAGGTCTGGAGAGCAGTGGGGCGGGAGGGAGTAAACAGGTGGCAGAGAGCTGGCGGGGAGGAGATGGCAAGGGAGGCAGGGGGTGCAAGACTGAGGTCTGCGCTCTCTCCCAGCGCAGCACCGGGGCGGGGCGGGGGGGGCAGGAGCAGGGAGCGGGTGACAGTGAGGGGCGGGGGCTCACCGAGGAGGGCACAGTGCTTGACAGCCCAGCAGTAAGCGTAGAAGCACTCCTCCAGCGCTCGGGGGAAGGGGGCCTCGGGGGCCAGGGAGTAGTCGACGGACAGGATGGGGACGCCCAGCTCCTGGGCCCAGCTCTTGAGGTAGGGCTCATGGGATTTGGAGGTCTGGGCCACGAAGCCACCGCCATGGATGTGCACCACCAGGGACTGTGAGCGGGGTGCCTGCTGGGGGCGTGGCCGCAGCTCCAGGCTCCAGGGCCCCTCGGACTTCACCAGGCTGCTGAGCAACTCACTGTCCTGGGGGGGGCGGTGGTGAGGGAGGAGGATTTGGGTGAGGCTGGGGGTGGCCTGCCTGGGCCTCACCCCACCAAAGGGATGTGCTCAGAGAGACAGGATGGGGGGGGGCAGGGGTAAGCATTGAGAGGTGGGAGGGCCTCTGGGGAGCGGGGCCGTTGGTGCTCCTTGGCTCTGTATCTCCTACCTGTCCTTCACGCAGGTCATAGGAGATGAGCCTGACGAGGACCGGTCCGGGGCCCGAGTGGGCCAGAGGAGGTGAGATGGTGACCGTGAGCTTGGGGTCAGCAGTCAGCGGCATTTCAAAGGCCTCTGGTGGCAGACTGAGCAGGCGGCTCACCCTCACCGTAGCTGATGTCATGTTTGCTAGAGACTGGTGGGAGGGAACAGGAGGGGCGCTGGGGAGGAGCTGCTTGCAGCCCCTTGTGCCTCCTCTCCAATCCCCACCCCATTTACCATCACGCGCTGTCCCAGGCCTGGAGCCCCGCCGAGGCCTGATGTGGCCTGGGATGGGTCTCTGGGCCCCAGTGTGCCCATCCTGTAACATTGGTGGGGCCTTCATCAGGCCCCCTTCTCACCGATAGCACCTCAATCTCAGTGATATTCCAGAAGGCTTTCCAGAAGTGCACATCTAGGTTCTGTATGATCCGCTCAAACTCCGCGCCGCGCAGCTCTGGGTCGATGGCGAAGCGGCCGCTTGTGAAGAGCGAGCTGGCGGTCACACCTGGGGATTGGCAGGGGTGTCGGGGGCCCAGTGGGAGTGGGGGCTGGGGGGGTGAAAGGAGGAGGAGGGACAGGAAGGGTGGCGAGGCTGCAGGCAGGGTCTGGCCAGGACTCACCAAGGCCTGTTTCATTGCGCTTATAGTGCTCCCCGAAGGACACCAGCCCGATGGAGATGGTCTGCAGGAAAGGCCGGATGGCGGGCGTGAACTGTGGAGAGACGCCGCTGGGTCACCCACTGCCCAGGAGGGACTGGAGGCGGGCAGGAGTGAGGGGGAGAGACGTGGTCATCCAGCAAACATTTAGTGAGCTCCTACTGTGTGCCAGGCACTGCTCTAGGCGACAGGAAGCAAATAAAGGCATATGTTCGATGTTAAGGAATGCTTCATGACCAATGCTTTGAAAATTTGAAAAAACAGTAGGTGGAGGGGACACAGACTGACGACTGGGGGTCAGGGTACTTAGATGGGTGTCCGGGAGGGTGCTGGAGGAGGAGCGATCCAGAGGAAGTGAGGGAAGGGTGCTCCCTGCAGAGGCCGTGGCAAGTGCAAAGGCTCTGAGGCAGCCTGTGCTTGGCGGGGATAACCTGTGCGGCTGGAGCAGAGTGAATGAGGGGAGAGGGGTGGCAGCCAAGGCCAGGGAAGCAGAGGGGGCTCATGGAGGGCCTGAGGAATGTGGATGTGTTCCAGACGTGGGTGGAGCCATAGAGGGCTGGGAGTAAGGTGATGCAGGGATTTCCTGAAAGTCAGCGAGGACAGAGATGAGGCCAGGCGGACGGGGACCAGTTCCTGGGCGGCAGGAAGACAGACAGGAGATGGTCAGAGACAAACAGGGCCAGAGATCTTGTGGCAGAAAGGCAGCCAAATGGGGAGACAGCATCTGAGGGAGGAGCCAGGCCAGCTAAGAAAAGACAATGGGGAGACAAGATCAGAGAAAAAAAGCCATAGGAAGCTGGGCAAGGGGCCAGCAGGGTTCTTTTGTTCATTCAACAAATACAGGCCTACATCCTACTTTGTGCTAGGCACTAGGCTTGGGGGCAGGGGGCAGGGGAGGGGGGACCGGGCGCTGAGCTAGAGCCCCGTGTGGGAGGCTTCTGCCCTGTGGGGGCTGACATTTTACAGGGGATAGCTGTCCCATAGCATAGCAGCTGGGCCCTCAGAGAAGAGCTGTCAGGCATGACCTTGCCCCTGGCCAGGGGCCCAGTGGGCCAGAGAGCACAGCGGTGCCTGGCCATTTTGCCTGGAATGCTGGCTTGGGTGGCCACAGGATCACTCTCCGGGGACTCCAAGGTCGTGGCCGGGACACAGGGAGGAGCCAGCTGGCCCAGCTGGGCTGATCAATATTTGTGGGGGGTCAGCTTAGGTGAAGGGAAGTTCCCAGGAACACCCAGGCTGCTCTGTGGGGAAGCGGGGAAGGAAGGCCGAGAGACTTGCCAAGCCCACCTGGGGTGGGGGTGGGGCAGACCCGGAGAGAATCTGGGGGACTGCAGAGTCACGCAGCTCCAGATACTCCTGCGGGGGGTTCCCCGATGTGGCTGGGGCCCGGGGGACCCCGCACTGACCTCACACAGGAGCACGTTGGGTCTCCGCTCTGAGTCCCCAGGACCCCCTCCCGCCTCCCCAATTCTGAGCCCCCAAACTACTTTTGCTCTGAGTCCAAAGGCTCCCAGGCTACTTTCCTCTCAGTGTTAAGGTGAATGGTACCCCCCTGGGGGTGGCTGGGGTGGGGCCACCACCAGGTCTCCCTCATGGTCACCAACTCAGAAGTGCTCCTTGGCCTTCCCCATGGCCGGAAAATCCTGAGTCGAGTGAGAGCTCCCGAGGTGAGCCAGAAAGCCCAGGCCGACCGGGGTCCCATGGAGCAGCCGCGACAAGAGCCCCTTGAGCCTCCAAAATGGAGCTAGCCCCCTCCCTCCTGCCCATGCCTTTGGGGGCGGGGTGACTAAATGGGCTGTGCTCTTATAAAGAGGCCTTTGAGAACAGTACTAACCACCCTCCTGAGGGGTCTCAAATGATTTCAGAGGACAGACAGGTCACCGCAAAGAGTGGACAAATCTCTGAGTGTGGGGATCCTGGCGCAAAGAGCTATGCAAGTTAACGATGTCTTACTACACGGTGGAATCGACGCAGGGGCCACAAGTTTGAGAACCCCCCCCACAACCCCGTGCAGCCGCCTAAGCCCTAGACGGCTTCCCCTTTCTGAATCTACTGTCCCCGGAGTCCAGTGATACCACTGTGGTAATCCTACCATGCTGTCGGGCCAGGTGGGGGGCCACCCGGCACCTTCACTGTGGGTCCGGAGGAGCGGGGCTGGGGGGAGTGGGGGGCTCACCTGGAAGCCCAGACAGCGGCCGTAGAAGCAGCCTTTGTGCAGAGTGACGTACTCGCGCAGGAACTCAGCAATGAGCCCCTCGTCGCCCTCGAAGAAGAGCCCCCCGGGCTGGTTGGTGGCGAGCAGGCGCTGGGCATAGTAGGCTAGGGCACGGAGCTGGGTGAGGGCGGCCAGGTAGGCCTCGAGTTCCGCCAGGTTGTGGCTGGTGCGGAAGAAGATGCTCCGGCGGTTGGAGGCCACGTAGCGGGATTTGTGCAGCAGGTGTGCCAGGCAGCAGCGGGCCGTGTGCACCAGGCTGCGGTACCCGTTGGCCGGCGTCTCGGCGTCCAGGTCGAAGAGGTGCGCCACGCTCAGCAGGCGGCACAGGGCCGGCTCCAGCCCCAGCGCCTGCTCCCGAACCCCCGCGAAGACCCTCGACAGCCGTCGTGCTGTCTCCCCGGGGCCCTGGCTCGAGAAGAAGGCCATGTTGTCTTCTGCCAGAGTCACCAGCGACTGTGTCATCGTGCGCAGGTCCATGCTGTGTGTGAGCCGCGAGGCTGCGGGCGAGTGGGGAGCCCCCATCAGGCAGGGCTGGACCCAAGGGTGGAGTCTAGGGCCCCATCCCCTTCCTTTTTCAGACCCAGGAGTCCAGGCCCCAGACTCCTCTTCTCCGTGGTGTCTCCTACGTGGGACTCTTCTTGGTTTCCTAGCTCCACGCCTCTCCTACAACCCCGGAGTCTATCCACCCCTCTGCTTCCTTCCAGGGACCCAAGAATTCAGGTAGCCGTCTCCACTTGGCTCTCCTGGGGACCAGGACGCTGAGGTTCTCTGAGAGGTGTGGAGCCCAGCTAGGTCCCTCCTCTCTCAGGACCCAGGGGTTCAGGCCCCCATTTCACCTCCTTCTCAAGGCCCCAGGAGTCACCCACGGGCCCTTCCCCTCCCCCAGTATTTGGGAGAGCTCAGCCCTCAGCCCACCCATTCCCGTCTACCTGGTGGTGTCCCAGGATCCTGGTCTCAAGCCCAGTTCTCTTCCGGAACCCAGTTCATAATCCTAGCCTTACTTCAAACTGAGGAGTCAATCCTGCCCCCTCCTGGTCCCTCGGATCTGGCTGTGGAACCCCCTCCAAGCTCCAGCTGCCTCACTGTTCCTCTGTGGGATCCCCACAAGTCGGTCCCACTGCTCCCCAGCTGGGTCCCCTGGCCTTCGGGCCTCTCCACTTGGCTTAGACCGCACGGGCCAGCCCCACTACCCTGCCTGGAACAGCTGCCCTCGCCTCTGCCGTTAGCCTTGAGCTCACTCTGCCACACCCACGCTAAGAACTTTCTCAGTTAGTGCTTGCTCACCCCAAGAACCCGATTGTCTCCATTCACGTTTCAACTGTTATCGGTAGCATCCCCATTTTACAGGAGAAACTGAGGCTCAGAGGTGTTCAGTAAGGAGCTGAAGCTTGCATCAAAAGTGGCCGCGCAGAATTCAAACCCAGATGTCTGGGTCCAGAGACATTACGCTGGTCTCCCTCCCAGGGCTCTGGAAGCTGGGTTTTTAGCTATGGCCGTCAAAAACTTGCCCTGGACAACGCCCGACTCCCCACACTTCAGGGTCCCTGGTGATCTTCCCTCTGGGGTCCTTGTACTGTCACCCAGGCCCTGGACAAGCTACTGTTGTCCCCCCTTGGTGGAGACGGTGCCCTCTGCTCTGGAGACTCTTCTCTCCTGAAGCCCACTCAGGACCTTGCCTGGCTTCTGCCTCAACCCCCAGAAGGTGTCTCCCCTCCCTTCCAGGACCTGGGGTTTTAAAGCGCGACCCGTTCCTGTCTCTTAGCAGACAGTGCACTCACCCCTCCCAGACCTCTTCTGAGCTCCCCCAGGCTGAGCTGCGGGCTGGGCTAGGGCTGAGTGTGGGGAGTGCCAGCAGAAGCCTGGGGCCATAAACCAGCTGGGAGGGGCAGAGCCTGCCCGGGGTGTGGCCATGGGCCCCACCTCCCACCCAGAAAGGCCTGGGAACCCGCGTGTTGTAAACACAGCAGGGAGCCCAACTCCCCGCGCCCTCTGCTGGTCCCCGGCCCCCGCTCAAATGCGAGTCCTTGTCCCAGGCTCCTCCGCCTTAGGACCCCGGAGTCCAGGGCCCCAGCGCCTTCCTCGCTTGGATCCAGGAGTCCAGACACTCAACCCCCTCAATAATTAGAAACTGAGGTATCTAGCTCGCCAAGCCTCTTCTCTCTTAGGAGCCAGGAGTCTTAGCCTCAGTGAGGAACAAAGTGTCTCTTCTCACCCAGCCCGGCTGCCCTCCCTCTCCCCAGGGTGGAGCTCAGAGAGCAAAGGCCCTGTGATCTCAGCTCCTGTCCCCCAGGCTGGCCCTGGCACAGGCGGCCCCAGCTATTGGGGGGTGGGGGGGGAGAGAGGGTAGCCAGCCATGCCTGTCCCTCCCGAGGGCACAAAAGCTGATTAAGGGTGGTGCCAAGCTCAGCTAGGGGTTCGGAGCCACACATGTCCTACTGTGTGGTGTTCCCATACTGGGCACCTGCCACTTACCCTTCACAGGCCATCCTGCTGTGACTGCCATCCCCACCTCACATATGGGAAACTGAGGCTCCAAGAAACACTTTACCTCTGTTATTCCATGTGCTCCTTACCTGGCCAGCTGTTTCTCACCCTTCAGGCCTCCGCTTGTCACCTCCGCACAGAGGCCCTCCCTAACTACTCCTCTCCACCTAAGACACACACCCCCATCATTACTTTCTGCCATCAGACTTGCGTTTCTTCCTAGATTTTTACACACTTGCAATTAGACACGTTCATTTACAGGTTTGTTGCTTGTCCCCCCCAGGGACAGAACCACACTTCACGGAGCTGTGAAGCTGACGTGTAGAGGTGCAGCTCTTTAGGAAAAAGGATATAAAATCACAAATACAAACTTTGGGACAGGGCTTTGGAAGGGGTCTGCACGAATGAGAGGCCCTAAGGTCATTTGCCTGTATGTAGGTGAATCCTCTGTCTCTCCTCCTTTTTTTTTTCTTTGTAAGATTTATTTATTTATTTGAGAGAGAGCACGAGAGGGAAGTAAGAGGGAGAGAGAATCTCCATCAGCCTCCCTGCTGAGCGGGGAGCCTGATGCGGGGCTTGATCTCATGACCCTGAGATCACGACCTGAGCCGAAACCCAGAGTCAGACACTTAACCAACTGCGCCACCCAGGTGCCCCTGTTTCTCCTCTTTGATTATCATGCTCCCTCGGGCAGGGGGGTGGCCCCAGGGCTCATGATGGGATCTGGCACATAATAGGTACTCAGCAAATATTTGAAGATGGAAAGAAAGCGTGAAAAGTCAGAGTGGGGGCAGAAGCAGGTGAATGGGAGCTTGGGAGAGGACCACCCCTCCCTAGGGCAGACAAACAGATGAACAGACAGAGGCCTCTGGAGACAGCACCAAGGCTTGGTGGCCAGGTGAGCCTGGATGGGCGGTGGCGAGGAAGAGGCTGAATCCCAGGCCTTCATGATTCCAGGGCCCTGCTCTTCGCCCTGTTCTAGGCAGCTCCCTGGGGGCTGAGCTGGGTGGAGCTGGGAGGAAGGGATATTGAGGTTGCCCAGAAACTTGCCAAGAATCTCAGGCAGAGGGCACTGGGGCAGAGGGAGGCGCCCAAGGCCCCTGGGCAACAACTGGGATAGAGGTGGAACCCAGGGGGGTCTTGCTGCCTGGCGCCAGCCCTTTGCCCTAAAGAACCACAGGACAGCCAGACCCAGCCTGGATTCTGGCCCCTGGGGACTGAGCAGGGGTGAGAAGGGAAGCAAGCTCAGGGAGGATGGAGGAGCAAGGACCAGCTCTGAGGCCTGGGAGGGGCAAGAGCTTCTGAAGGGGAGAGGCCTGCAGCGCAGATGCGTGCCAGGCACTGTAACTCATTTCATCCTCTCCACGGCCCAGGGGCTAGGGACCGTCACCACCCCTTTTGGCAGTGGAGAGAAGTGAGATGCCAAGGAAGACGGGGCCGCCCGTGGTCACAGGACCCGTTAGGATGGCTCAGCCGGTCTTTGCCGAGTTTCTGCAGTGTGTGTGTGTGTGGGGCGGGGGGGGGCTCCTTCTCTCCATCAGGTCTCAGCTGCCCGCTTTCTGGGTGGTCAGGTGTGAGTGCCTTGGAGGCTCACACACAGATTTACATATGTATGTGGGTACATGTCATGCGTAGTGTTTGCCTGGCCTGTGTTTGTGGGTGGGTGACATTTTCTCCCCAGTCTGTGCGTTTGTACGTTTCTCCGTATGTCTGAGGGCATGTGCGTATGTATGTGTCACGGCCCCCGTACGTCTGAGGGCATGTGCGTATGTGTGTTTGTGTTCTTCTTGGCCCGTGAGATTGCACGGGCAGGTGTTTGTGTGTGTATGGACGTATACACTCATTATCTGTGTGCACCCGGGTGTGTGTGTGTGTGTGTGGGGCACTTCTTACTCTCATCCAATGCATCACAAAGTTCTGTCCACTCTGCCTGCCCCCGCAGAAACCTCTGGAATCTGGCCCTTCTCCCACTTCCACTGACCCCTCATCTAGAGGATTTTAACTAGTCTTTATGTGTCTCTGATTTTGCCCCCTTCAATGTCTTTTCCACATAGCAGCCAGAGGATTTTTCTAGAACTTCAGTCTGGTCACACACTCCTAACCCTGCAACAGCCCCCATCCTTTGCTCTCAGGATAAAGCCCCAAATCCTAGACATGGCCTCCCAAACCAGGTGCTATCTGGACCCCCTGCCCACCCAGCCCCCTAATCCTCCCCTCCCTTGCTGAGCTCCCTCTGTGCTGTAATAAGCCACTTCCTTGGGCCTCAAGGTCTCTGCCTGAGCTGTCCCCTTTGCCTCCCTGCCCCCTTTGCCCAGCAGTCAGCACTTGCTCATCCTTGGGTCCAATGTCACCTTCCTGGGAAGCCTCCCTCTTACATTTTCTCAGGACTTTCCCTCTTGTATTTGCCAGTTTACAATTATATCTGATTTGTGGGATTATTTGATGGATATCTGTGTCCCCAGCTCAAATGTGAGTCTGTCCTCACCACTAAGAGTCCAGGCCTGACATAAGTAAATGCTCAGTGAATGTCTGCTGAACGAATCTGTGAGACTGGAGCTTTCTGGGCCCATAATCAAGGTGGGGGCACAGAGCAGGTTTGAGTTCACACACCCCTGCCCTCAGGAGGTTGGGTTGGCCATCCCTCTGCCCTCACCTGCCAGGTAAGGACGCCCAGGTGACCTTGCTCCTTCAGAGCCTCAGCATCAGCATCTCGCAAATGGGGAGATCATAATGACACTAGAGTCATTGGTTCCAGGCAAGATCAAACTGATGACTAGGACTGCTCCAGCCAGCCTGGATGTCCTTGGGGCAGGGGCAGGGTCTGATTCACCCTAATGAGGTGTGGCACCAGGGCAGAGCCTCAGGAGATGATAGGTGGCTCTCAGAGTTTAGTGGAATGAGCCTTTGTGAGTAGGTGGGCCCTTGGGTTTGTGGGTGGGACTGGCTCAGCCCTGTGCAAGGCACCCCACCCAAGAGGATTCTGACTCCTCATGACAAGCCTAAGGGCAGCACGATTATTATTATCCCAGTGTTACAGTTTAAACATTCCTTCACTTACTAATTCAATAAATATCTGAGTGCCTCTGTGCCTGGCATATCAGGCTATGAAAATGTGGGGTAAACAAGGCAGACACGGGCCCCTTCTTAGGGAACTCACTGCCTAATGGGGAGTAATAGTAATCATAACCTCCACCCCTCAGGCAGACTTGCTGTGTACCAGTATCCAACGTGCTACACTCATTCAAACCTCACAACAGCGCTACGAGTCAGGGAGTCCTATCATTCTGCCCATTTTACAGCTCAGAAAGTTCAGACAGGGATAGAAGAAGCCTGTTGCCCAATGTACCACGGTTTATGACCCCAGGAACCAGGCCACCATCGCTCACATTTTTAACTTTGGTCTGTACTGCCTCTGGGCACACTGTCCTGCTCATGAGGCTGTGTCTGGCAGTATGACAGTGAATGCCCTCAGGTCCCAGCCTGAGCTCCGAGCCTGTCTGAGTCTGCGTGTGTGCGTGTGTGCAAGTGTGCGTGTGCTTGTGTACAGCCAACTCCAGTTCTGTCTTTGGCTAATGATGTTGCCTAAGGCAGAGAGGACAATGGGCTTGGGGTCTCTAGGGTCTGGGGGCTACATCAGTTTCTTCACAGGAACTTCCCGTAGGTCCTCACTTGGCTTCACAAATACTCATCACCTAGCAAGGACTTAATGTGCGGTCCTGCCTGGGGCTTGCAACATCTCTGTTGGTCTGTCAGTCTTTCTCCAGCTTGCTGAGATCTGTAAATAATATAACACCTTAGGAACCCAGTTGACAGCCCTCCCTTCTTTGTGCCAGGGAGGGTGTGGTGGTCTGAAGGCTATCCAGGGCTCCCTATTCCTAAAAAGAGTGGGGGTCAGGAAGTTAGGTCCCAGTGGTGCTGGGCTGAAGCTGGGGGGCTGATAGGAACCGGAGGCACGGATTGAATGAAGGATGGGAGGATGGACTGTTTTGAGCCATACTGGCCCTGGGGCTGGGGCATTTCCCACTACGAGGCACCCCTTCCTCCTACCTTTTCCTGACAGTGAATGCTCTCGAAACGTCCTCTCTGCGCAATAGTTTCTAAACCTCTCCATTATCCTCTCATGAGTGCTGGGGCCCTGAAAACCGGCGCTTGAACCATTTCCCTGGTAGGAAACACTGAAGCCAGGAATTGCCCCACGGTCACACAGCGAGTACGGAGCCGGACCGGGAACCCTAGTCTTGGAGACTCGCATTCTGGACACTTCCCAAGTCGCTACTGGGGCGTCCGGTAGTCTCTATGCTGAGGGTAATATTCCACTCTCA